TTCTGCCCATAATCTTGGTAAGCAGAATTCATCTGAACTTATGTTGCTGCCAACAAATATATGAGCAATTATACTTAGTCAAAAACAAAAACCAAACTGACGTTAAAGAAAATTAATCACTTGCTTTGAATAAATCAGCTATTAAGACAGCTTACATAATTGAGTCTGACAGTGCCAAATCATGTCTGAGATGAGACACTGCATGATACATAATCAAACAGATATTTGCAAGAGCTGCGGGTTGGGGGAGAGTGCAAATGTTTCCCAGTACTCCCATGTCATGGGAGTATACAATAAAACACTTGAAAAGCTGCAATAATAAAAGGTTTAAAGAGCTACAATAATAGGTTTTGCACACTGTAGTGGCTGCTGAGAACGTTTTAGAATTTCATATCTATCATCCAAACACTACACAGCACCATAATCTATTTATTACCTCTTAATAGGAATTCTATGCTAATAAAAATTGTATCCCTTTGCATTTGCTCTATTTCACTATTTGGATCATATCTCTTGTTAGAAACAATGTTTGGCCCATGTATTGTCAATATAAATAAAAAGCTTTTACCACATAAACAAGGTCAGTTTGTTCTGTTTGAAAGATGGAGTAATGGAACTAACTACAAGATATGCAATGTAAAATTTATTCCCATTTCACTTTTATGAGTAGAAATGAAAGGTACTCAACTAAAATATGCATAACAATTAGGCTTTCTGCACCGGCCTCCAAAGAAATGCATATATATTTATACATATAATAATGTATATGTATGCTTTCTATAGAATGAATGCACAGAAGAGAATATTTGATGTTTTTCTTCATGACATATTTTCATTAGTAAGTATTTTCCATTTGATACACAAATTTGTCCTTTGTTTTCAGGACACTAGGTAATTGCATGTATCTAGTCTGCCAGTGGCAACAATTTATCATTGCACTTAGAGTAAAAAATGAGATGTAATTTCATTGCTGCTAGTAGCTCAAAACAAGTACTTTGGTCTGACTTTTTTTTCTTTTTTTTTTTGAGACAGTCTCGATTTATCACCAAGGCTGGAGGGCAGTGAGTGGAGTTATCTAAGGCTCACTGCAACCTCCAACTCCTGGGTTCAAGCAATTTTCCTCCCTCAGCCTCCCGAGTAGCTGGGATTACAGGCATGCACCACCACACATAGATAATTTTTGTGTTTTAGTAGAGATGGGGTTTCACAATGCTGGCCAGGCGGGTCTCTAACTACTGACTTCAAGTGATCTGCCCGCTTCGGCCTCCCAAACTGCTGGGATTATAGGTGGGAGCCATCGCGCCCGGCCTGACAGATACTAAGGAAGTATTTTTCAACTTTAATTTCAGCCACACCATAGAAAACAGTCCCTTAGTTTTCTGCAACATAACTGCATGTAATCCATTTCCATATAGGATATTATCCATATCCTAATTTATATCCATATAAATTTAGGATTGGACTGGGTCACAAAAAGAGAAGTTAAAAAAAACTTTTCAAATATTGGCAATATATCTGCAGAAAAGGACATAAATACATGTATTTTTTTTCTTTTGTATCCTGAATGCATTAAATCATAAACAGTGTAACTGCAACATAACCTGAAAATGAATAACTGTGAATAATACTGTTCATTTTTTAATATTTTCCAGCTTGCATTACTAAAATTATCTACATTTTAAACATTTAGACCCCAGAGCTTATTATCATTGGTGCAAACATGAAATGCCAGAATGAATGCATATTGTGTGAACATGAATTTACTCTACAAATTAATTTTAAGAGCTAATATTTAATAATACACTAATTTACTTTCCTTAGCACTTAATTATAGAAGTATATGACTACTTATTTCAAAAAATTCTAAATACCCTGAGTAGGTTAAGATAGTGTCCTAAGTAAAGAATTTCTTCAAGTCTACTTTATGTGCCTCAGCCAGATGGGGAAAGACTGAAAAGTAAAGACACACAAAGAATTGTTTATCTTCTTTTGCTTATTTTCCTTGATTTGAGTCATCCAGAGGTGAAAGTGATTGCCTTTTCTGCAACAGAAAATAACACGATAATGGGAAGTCGTATAGAAGATCTAAGGGAAAGCACTGAATCAGTTTAACATACTACCTAAACATTTATAATATAAATCCATAAAATCAAATACAAATGCCAAACACTATTATTGAAATAAAATACATATAAATGACACATTATATTTGAGACTCTATGTCTTCCCAATTCAATATGATTGTTACCTTAAGAAACTGTTCCTTAAAACATACAGTAAGATTTTTAGTACCTGGGAATTTGAAATATCACTTCTTTATATTTAATAAATAGCTTAAAATTATAGCAAACTGAAATTCTGATTCTCATTTCTTCTTTATCAAATTGGCCTCATTTTTTTTTAATGTACTTGCTGTTTACCAGCTTTAAACAATCAACAACAACAAAAAAGACGTAGAACAAAAAGAGGTGGGGAGGGAATGACAAATCACAATTTGGTGGGAAAAAAGAGAATGAAAAAGCATTCTATATTCATTGCCCCAAAAAATGGAGACCTGTACACAGGCACCATGCTAACTACTTGTAACATCCTTATGTCCTGCTCGTACATATTAATAATTCAGTGTCCCTTACTAGTCACTTACCTACACAGAATAAATTGATACATTTTGGAATTTAACTATATGACTTAACTACATGGCTTTTAAGAAGTGTCCTTCAAGCCTGTAATCCCAGCACTTTGGGAGGCAGAGGCGGGTGGATCATGAGGTCAAGAGATCGAAACTATCCTGGCCAACATAGTGAAACTCCATCTCTACTAAAATAAAAAATTAGCTTGGCATGGTGGCGAGCATCTGTAGTCCCAGCTACTCGGGAGGCTGAGGTAAGAGAATTGCTTGAATTGGAGAGGGGGAGGTTGCAGTGAGCTGAGATTGTGCCACTGCACTCCAGCCTGGTGCCTGGCGACAGACCAAGACTCTGTCTCAAAAAAAAAGAGTCCTGCTATGGTTTGACTGTCTGTCCCCTCCAAAACTCATGTTGCAATTTAGTTGCCACTGTAACAGTATTAAGAGATGGGACCTGTAACACGTGAGTAAACCATGAGGGCTCCACCCTCACTGGGAGATCTGTACCATTTTAAGAATGAGTTCACCCACCTCTTGTCCTCTCTTACCCTCTTGCCTTCACCAAGTGATGACACAGCAAGAAGGCCCTCACAAGATGCCATGCCTTGATATTGGACTTCCCAGACTCCAGAACTGTGAGCCAATAAATTTCTGTTCATTATACATTAAATTGTTACAACAGTACAAAACAGACTGTGACATGTCTTTTGGTAAGCTATGAAATGGCACTCTATTCCAGGTTTCCCCTAGACAGTCTGTAATAGTCTGTTTTACATTGTTATAAAGAAATGCCTGAGGCTGAGTTAATTTATTAAGACAAGAGGTTTATTTAGCTCACAGTTCTTCAGACTCTAAAAGAAACATGACACCAACATCTGCTTCTGGCGAGAGCCTGAGGAAGCTTTCAATCACAGGGAAGGTGAAGTGGGAGCAGTATGTCATATGGTGAGAATGTGAGCAAGAGATGCCATGCTCTTTTTAACAGTCCACTCATGGGTGAACTATTGGAGTGAGAACTCACACATTACTATGGGGAGGGCACCAAACCATTCATAAAGGTTTCTATCTCATGACCCAAACACCTCCACCAGAGTAACATTTTTTGAAATGTTACAAAGGTCCAAACTATATCACAGTCTCAACCCAGTCTTTCAATATCTATTTCCAGTAAGTAAACAAGTCATCCAATTACCATGGTATGATCACAGCTCATTGCAGCCTCAACCTCTTGGGCTCAAGTGATCTTCCTGCCTCAGCCACTTGTAGCTGAGACTACAGACATGCACAACCATGCCTGGCTAATTTTTGTAATTTTTATAGATGAGGTTTCACCATGTTGCCCAGGTTGGTCTTCAACGGCTGGCCTCTAGCAATCCTCTTGTCTCAGCCTCCCAAAGTGTTGGGATTACAAGTGTGAGCCACGCTACCTGGCCTGCAGCTACTCATCTTAATAAAACAAATGTATTAGCTTAGGCAATGATTTTGGTTTCATTCTGCATCTGCATCTGCAACTGTAGACATGCAAAGGGGTTATCCATACACAATCATGTGAATGCCAGCCTACCTTATTATATAGTAAAAGGCTAATATAAAGAATTCTTCATGGAGAGCGAGAAACTGTGTGAGTAGAACATTTTAAGTATTTGCCTTTAAGTCAGTTTAAAGATCTAGGGACACAATTTTAAAGAAGCACTGTAAGATTAAGATGAGGATAATGACAACTGCATTATTTCTCTTCCAAATAAGAGACAGTTGGTGACTTGTAACCAACTGCTATAACAAAATACCACAGACTGAGTAAAGTATAAAAACAATAGAAATTATGCTGGGCATGGTGGCTTGTGCCTGTAATCTCAGCTACTCTAAAGGCTGAGAGAGGCATTGCTTAAGGCCAGGTGTTCAAGACCAGGTAAGACAACACAGCAAGACCCTGTCTCTAAAATAAATAAATAAATAAATAAATAAGTAAGTAAGTAAGTAAGTAAGTAAGTAAGTAAGTAAATAAGCCTTACAGTCTAGATGCTGGGAAGTCAAGATGAAGGCATTAGCAGGTTTGGTGTCTGGTGAGGGTTGCTCTCTGCTTACAAGATGGCACCTTGTTGCTACATCCTCCTCAGGGAGAAATACTGAGCTGTCTTTACATGGTAGATGAGACTAAAGAGTAAAAGGATCTAAGCCAGTTCCTTGCAGCCCTTTTTAATAAGGCACTAATCCATACATTAAGTGCAGAGCCCTCATGACTTAATCACTTCCCAATACCTATTAAACAATTTCTCTACATTATTTATGATGCCCAATATAATGTAAATTTTATAAAAATAGTTGTATGCTATTGTTTAGGGAATAATTACAAGAAAAAAGTCTGCCATGTCAGTACAGGTGCAACCATACATTTTATTGTTTTCTAAATATTTTTGATCCACAATTGGTTGAACCACAGATGCAGAATCCACAGACACAGAGGGCTGTACATAGAGAGAGGCAATTGGACCTAAGTGGTTAAGATACCAACTTAATTGAAGCAAAGATCAAATGTTATAATTCAGATGCTTCTATAGATATTAAATATCCACTGTCAGATAATACTACAGGCATACACTGTTTTATTACACCTCACTGTACTGTACTTCATATATAGTGCATTTTTTACAAATAGAAGGTGTGTAGCCATCCCGCACCTCACAAGTATATCAACTCCATTTTCCCAACAGCATATGCTCACTTCATGTATTCTGTCACATTCTGGTAACTCTCTCAGTATTGTTAACTTTTTCATAATTGTTATTTGTGTTATAGTGATCTCAGTCAGTGATGTTACTATTGTTTTGAAGGCACCACAAACTATGCCCATATAATATAGTGAACTTAATGGATACATGCATATGTTCCGACTGCTCCATAGATGTGCTGTTTCTTTCTCTCTCTCCTCAGGCCTCCCTATTTCATGAAACAACATTGAAATTAAACTAATTACTAGCCCTACAATGACCTCTAAGTGTTCAAGTGAATGGAAGAGTTGTACATCTTTCACTATACATCAAAAGTTAGAAATGATTAAGCTTAGTGAAGATAGCATGTTAAAAGTTGAGGCTTTGAGACAAGCTAAAAAGCTAGGCCTTTGTGCCAAACAGCCAAGTTGTGAATGCAAAGAAAAACTTCGTAAAAGAAATTAAAAGTACTACTTCACTGAACACAGGAATAAGAAAGCAAAACAGCTGCACAGCAGATATGGAGTAAGTTTTAAGTGGTCTGGATGTAAGATCAAACCAGTTACAACACTTCCTTAAAGCTAAAGCCTAATCCAGAGCAGGGCCCTAACTCTTGCATTCTATGAAGGCTGAGAGAAACTGTAGAAGACAAGTGGGAAGCTAGCAGAGGTTGGCTCATGAGACTTAAGGAAAGAAGCCATCTCCATAACATATAAATGCAAGATGAAGCTACAAGTTATCCAGGTCTACCTAAAATGAATACACTAAACACTATACAGATTTTCAATGTATACAAAATAGTATTCTATTGAAAGAAGAAGCCATCTAGGACTTTCACAGCTACAGAGCGGGAATCAATGCCCAGTTTCCAAACTTCAAAGGACAGGCTATCTTGTTAGGGATACTGTAGTTGGTGACTAAGTTGAAGCCAATGCTCATTTACAATTCCAAAAATCCTAGGGTCCTTAGGAATTTTGTGCTCTATAAATAGAAAAACAATGCTCAGACGACAGCACATCTTTTTATACCATGGTTTACTAAGGATTTTAAGTCAACCACTCAGAAAAATATTTCTTTTGAAATGTGACTGAGCATTAACAATGCACCTGGTTACCCAAGAACTTCGATGGAGATATACAAGGAGCTATTTTTTTAATGCCTACTAACACAACCATTCCATAGCCCATAGATCAAGGAATAGTTTTGATTTTCAAAATCAGGCTATAGCTGTCATAGATTGTGATTCCTCTGATGGATTTGGGCAAAGTAAATTGGAAATCTTCTGGAAAGGATTCACCATTTAAGATGTCAAGAACATTCATGATTCATGAGATAAGGCCAAAATACCAATATTAACAGCAGTTTGGGAGTAGTTGATTCCAACCCTCATGAATAATTTTGAGGTGTTTAAGTCTTCAGTGGAGGAAGTAACTGCAGAAGTGGTAGAAATTGGAAGAAAACTAGAAGTGGAACCTAAAGATGTGACGGAATTGCTGTAATCTCATGAAAAAACTGGAATAGATTAGTTACTTCTTAAAGATGAGAAAAAATGAGCTTTCTCAAGTAAAGGCTACTCAAGGTGAAGATGCCAAGTACATTACTGAAATGGTAACAAAGGACTTACAATGTTACATAAACTTCTTAGTTGATAAAGCAGTGACAGGGTTTAAGAACCAATCCCAAATTTCAAAATTTTACAGACAGTAAAATGCTATCAAGTAGCATCACATGCTACACAGAAATCTTTGGTGAAACGATGAGTCAATTAATGCAGCAAACTTCATTGCTGTTTATTAGGAGAAACTGCCACCTTCAGCAACCACCACCCTGATCAGTCAGCCACCAAGAACACTGAGGCCAGATTCTCCACCAATTAAAAGATTACAACTCACTGCAGGCTCTGAAGGTCATCGTTACTTTTTAACAGTAAAATATTCTTAAACTGAGATAAACACATTTGGTTTTTACAGGCACAATGCTATTGCACACTTAATAAACTACAGTAGAGCACAAACCTAACTTTTATATGCATTTGGAAACCAACTTTGTGTGACTGACTTAACTGTAGTGATCTGGATCTGAAGCCACAGAATCTATGAGGTAAACCTGTACCTGAGGTACAGAAATGGACAGGTTTTCAAATGCCGTGATGATCAGAACAGCTTGATGTCTAATAATAACATGTAATTGTTCCCATTCTTGTGGAAAAGGGTTTTGTGTTTTTCCTTTAGTGCTTTTAGATACAATCTCATAAACTCTTATAGTATTCTACCAAATCATTAAAAGGTTGTGCTAACCTGTGAAGGTAACTTAAAGTTCCAAAAACATTTCAAAAGATAATGAAGAAAGTACTCACAAGATAAAGTTAATACATACCAAGGCAGAGCCTCTCAACTTGTGTACTAGGAATGCTGCAGAGTCCCCTCAGCTCATGGGGAAAAAAAGTGGGGCCTCAGTGCAACCAGAGTAAATGGGTTTCTGCTAAGTGGTATCTAGTCTATTCCAATGTGCCATACAAAAGTGTGTTAAGGAATGAAAGACTGGGAACCATCTATTCAGTGGGAAATGCTAATCAGAAAACCAGGAGATGCAGGTCCAATTCTTCATCAACTCACTAGCTGAGTGTTCTTAGTTAAATTAACCTCTTTGGGACACTTGGGCTCCTCATTTATTAAATGAAAACTAGAGTATTTCAATGGCCTCTTCCAGTTCTAAAACCCGTAATTTCCCTTACATTGACACTTCATAATATAAAACAGTAGTCATTACTCATTTAATTAAAAACTCTAAATTAAGATATTCAATAAATACTTGTTATTTATTGAACCTAGTGAGTATCTGGGAAACAAATATGGAAGATGAAATCCCTAAATAGATCTTATTGTGAATAATCTTTGTATCACTTTTAGGAGGTTAAATAGTAAAGCCTTCAGAACAGGTGCCTAAATAAAGGAAATTGCACAGATAACAGAAGCCTGCCTATGCATAATAAATATTTACTTTAGCTATAATCAGAGCTTCTACCAATATCTAAGAATTTCCTCCTCTACACCCTTCAACTGCTTTAAAAAGAAAAATTATAGTCATTTAAATTTATTTGCAAATTACATTTATAATTAAAATTGATTTCTAAGGTAAACATTTATAAAAATAAAGACTCTCAAAAGGACTTCATCTTATTTTCAGATTATAGCAAGAAAATCAATGTGCTCCATATATTTTACCCATGATGAAACTTATTCCATACCCATTATTTTATATATATAGTTTAACTGGGTGGGTTTGGGTGGGAGAAGGCATGAATTCAAAATTTTACTTAAATATCACATAATTTAATGTTCTCCCAAGAATCTGAGCTGAAATTTTCATATGAATACAGTTTCACAAAGGCTACAAATATATATCAACTTAAACAGAAGGAATTATTTAGTATTTAACAGTGTTTTTAAAAATCTAGCTCTATAATCACTTTTTCTTAAAAAAAAAAAAATCCTTACTACATAATATGACAAGTCCACATTTCTCTAGAAATGCATAGTCACCTAATAGTAAGGTCCAAAATGAGAATTACTATCTCCAGAAGAGGGTGGAGGAGGCAGCGGTGGAGGGGGAGGAGGTGGGGGTAGGGAGTATGGTAAGTTAAGTAATGGATGAGCTGCCATGTTTGGTGTAGCCCAACGCATGTTTACAGGTGGGGGTGGTGGAGGTGGTGGGCAGAGTGAAAAATTATGCATATCAAACATTGGAGGGGGAAAGGGGTATTGTGGCATAATGGGATTATCTTGTCTCTGGGAAGGAAATCCTGAAGTCTCCTGAGATACCATATGTTCTGAGTTATAGAACTGCTGAGGTAGAGGCCTGCCATGGCAAAATCGAGGGTATCTGCTCCTGGAAAATCCTCGTGTGAATTCTCTGTTGCGATATCCTTTTGAATGTTCTGAAGCAGAGCTATGAGCATTCCAATTCTGATGTACTTCAGCAAAATCTTCACCTTTGAGTGAGGGGAGGGAAAACATAAAAATGAAAATAAGTTTAATATATCAAAAAGCACTGTTTGAAAGTTTAATTATGCTTTTTCTTTATTATCTAGTATATCTTATGGCAGTTAAAAGAGTATGTCTTAAAATAATCAATTTTAAAGGAACTGAAAAGACAAAACTTAATGCCAAAGAAAGAGAACCTAGCAAGACAGAAAACACTTAGACAATAACTATTCTACTCCAGCCAAACACCAGAGAAGAAAACGTGGCACCATCTCTACACACTCTCAAAGGCTGAGTACAGATCTTAGACTTCTGTCCTTGACAGGCAGTAATGAGCGATCCAACCCTTCTACCACAGTAGCATCAGGAACAAGCTGAACACGGTATGGGTAATAAGGCCTCCCCGCAATGGCAGTAAACATCACATGGGGAACCTGAACTTCCACCTCTACTGGCAGCAACACAGTGTTCTTCCATCTTTTACACTGGGGTAATGTCAGAGAAGACTGAGTAAGAGTTAGGATTTTTGTCCCCACACAGTTGATAACAAGGCCATCCTCCACTGGTGTTACTGCATGCCATATGGGGAGTAGTGACAAAGTACTCCTGTCCCTCCAGGAATAAGAAAAGACCCTATGGGATGTCAGAACTTCTACCCTCATCTAGCAGTAACAAGGCTCTCCTTGGCCAAAGGTGTCAAAAGAGGCTAATAGGAATTCCTAGACTTCAATCTACCCTATTCTTTCACTGCCAGAGTAGTATTTTAAAAAACAAAACAAAGAAGATAAAACAACAAACCCAGCTAAAACAGAAGATTTACATAAGATCCATGGTCTTGTAATATATTACTCAAAACACCCAAGTTTCAGTTAAAAAAAAGGGGCTCATTACAAAAAGAGCCAGGAAGATTTCATTCAATTAAAAAAAAAAATCAACCAAGGGCATCACAAAGATCTTAGAATTATGAAAGATAGTAAAGCAGTCATAAAAATGTTTCAACAAGATATTATGAACATTCTAAATTAAAATTACAAAGTTTTAGCAAAAAAAAACGAAGATAAAAGAACAAATTGAAATTTCAGAAATGAGCATTACAACAACCAAAAACAAACAAACAAAGAAAAAAAAAACAATAGAATATTGAAGGAGAAGAATAAAGCTGGAGGACTGAAACTATCCAACTTCAAGACTTATTATAATGCTTCAGATATCACAGCAGTGAGGTACTGGTGAAAGAGACAAATAAATCAATAGGACAAAATAGAAAGTACAAAAACAAACCCATAAAACATAATCAACTGATATTTAACAAAAGAGCAAAAGCAATACAACAGAGCAGAAGTAGTCTTTTCAACAAATAGGGCTGGAACACCAGGACATCCATATGCAAAAAATAAATCTAGACAATAGCCTTACACCATTCATAAGAATTAATTCAAAATGAATCACAGACCTCAATGTAAAGTGCAGAATTACAAAATTCCTAAAAGATAACAGAGAAGAAAATACAGATGACCCTGAGTTGATACTGACTTTCTAGATAGGACACCAAAGGCATGATAAATGAAAGAAAGAATCGATTCGCTGAATTTCATTAAACTTAAAAATTTCTGATAAACAAAAGATACTGTCAGTCAGAAAAATGAAAGACTAAAGCTCAAGAGTTCAAGGTTACAGTGAGCTATGATTGTACCGCTGCATTCTAGCCTGGGCAACAGAGCATGAACCTCAAAAAACAGGCAAACAAAAAAAAAAACCTCAGCAAGATATTTGTTGATGTACAGAACATTCTAAAATTTATACTGAAAGGTAAAAGACCTAGAATATCACTAATAATTTTTAAAAACAGAAATAAAGTAGGAGTTATCACTCTAAGCAATTTCAAGACTAACTTCGCTTTCTACACAAATTTACCTCAAAATGAATCGCAAGTGTAAAATGTAAAACAGAAGACTACAAAACTTTTAGGAAAAAAAATAGAAGAAAATCATTAGGATCTAAAGCTAAGCAGGAAGTTCTTAGATTCCATAAACAAAACTGATAAATTAATTTTCCTCCAAACTAAAACCTTTAGTCTTGCAAGAGGACCTCTTAAAAGGGGGAAAAGATTATAGACTAGAACAAATTATGAACAAATCATGTATCTGACAGAAAGCTAGTATATCTAAAGTATACATTTTTAAATTCTCAAAACTCGACAGTAAAAATCCAGAAATAGTATTTAAAAATGGGCAAAATAGGGCCGGGCGCGGTGGCTCAAGCCTGTAATCCCAGCACGTTGGGAGGCCAAGGCGGGTGGATCACGAGGTCAAGAGATCGAGACCATCCTGGTCAACATGGTGAAACCCTGTCTCTACTAAAAATACAAAAAATTAGCTGGGCATGGTGGTGCGTGCCTGTAATCCCAGCTACTCAGGAGGCTGAGGCAGGAGAATTGCCTGAACCCAGGACACGGAGGTTGCAGTGAGCCAAGATCGCGCCATTGCATTCCAGCCTGGGTAAACAAGAGCAAAACTCCATCTCAAAAAAAAAAAGGGCAAAATATATGGATTGACACATCACTCAAGATACAGATAGTAAATGAGCACATGTAAAGATGTTCAACATCATTAGCCATTAGGAAAATGCAAATTGAAACCACAATTATATTAGCACTACATATCTAGCAGAATGGCTAAAATTAAAAATAGTGATAACACCAAATGCTAGAGAAAATGCAACGAAATTGTCACTCATATACTGCTGATGGAAATGTAAAATGTTGCAGCCACGCTGAAAAACAGTACGGCAATTTCTTAGGAAACTAAACATGTAATGCAATTATTATACAACCAAGCAAATGTACTCTTGGGCATTTATTCCAGAGACATAAAAATCTGTTTTCACAAAAAACTTGTAACAAATATTTATAGCTGCTTTTTTCCTAATCACCCCAAAATGGAAACAACCTTGATGTGTTTCAATGGATGAATGGTCAGGTAATCTGGTAAATTCATACCTGAATGTTACGCTGTAATGAAGAGGAACAAACTATTATTGATAGTTTCAAATTATTATTAATAGGTTCATCAAGTACTAGATCATAAAATTTCTAAAAATGGAAGCAAGTGGGTATCTTAAGAAAAAAGTGCTGAGAAGCACAAGTAACAAGATTTAATCTCTCTGTTATCCCAGGAAACCATTTTTATATGCTTAAGCTCACAAAACTACCATACCTCCTGCTATGTAACCACTCTAAGTATTAGTAGAATGCTAGGAGGTAAACAGAGAGAACACAGATGTTTCCTTCAGTTTTATTACTGATAAACTTATATAGATGTAAATGAAGATAAAGAATGACTATACATATTGTATTCACTCACCTGGCTCATTAAATTCAGATTTGAGTTTTTTCCGGCCTTGAATCTGAGATTTTTTCCTCTGTTTGGCTTCTTTTTCTTTTTCATCATCACTGAAATCTAAGGCCTTGCAGAGAAAGGTATATAATAAGTTTATGTTACATGGATTTGCCAATTCAACAGTATATACTTGGAGGTAAAGAAAATAAGTCTATTATTAACCACTGACTCTTAAAAGTTGCCTTTGTGATACTTAATATTTTCTATATCTGAATTAGACATGAGACAAAGTATTTTTTGAATGACTCTTAATTAACACAGACCAGTAATCGGCCTTCAGATATGAGTCTGACTTCCAGTTTAGATTTAGAATTCATCATAGTGGTGATGGTATGTGCATCATCAGATGCAAAAAATACCAAAGGTAGGAGTATCAAGGACTAAGCAAATTATACACTTTGTAAGAGCCAACAACAATAGAAGACAATGTTCCACAATTCATTCATTCAAACTACACACCCAAGCACTGTTCTAAACCTTCACAGGGTCATTCTTTACATGTTTACTGTCTTTTTAAATATAATTTTAGGTAAATAGCAAGGGCTCTAAATAAATATTAAGGCAAAATAAGGATATACAAATCATGGGGATGCTATTTAGGTAAGGCCATAGGCAAAGGCTTTTATAAGCAGATACATAAATGACCCAACTCCTAAAAGGAAATTATTTAACAATTAAATGTGGTACAATTCACATGTAACTAAGAATTAGGATTCATTGTTATAGTCCACCAGGAAAACCAAGATTTATGAGCTATATATATTATGACTGTCATGGTTGCAATAGTCAGGCATTTTATTATTCTATTAACACCAGAAAACTTTTATTATTATGTTTCATATAAAAAATATATTAAAGCAGGCCCATTATGTATGCAGGGATACACATTTAAAAACAAGAAACAAAATGTATATGAACATCTTTGTATGTAATTTTTAGTACAGCTTTGCTGGAATACATTTTAGATCAAATCCTCCATGAACAAAAATTCATACACTTCAGAGTCTAAAATCTAAGTAGAAAACATCAACTAATTGTATGCCTTCAAAATGCACAAGTTCTTATTACTAATCTTAATGTGATAAGATTTTTAAATTCAGGTTAAATCTGGATCTGACAGACACTAGGAAGTATAAAGATCAGAGGGAAGACTCCTGAGAAAAAAGATTAAATGTACAATGAATGAGTGCCACAACTTAATGCACTATTATAGTGCTGGATAAAGAGAAAAAAAAAAAAGTAAGACTTCTTGGTATGGATAACCCAATACGTGATTGAGTAAGCTAAGAAAATAAGGAAAATTTTCAGTGCATGGTAACGATACACACAGAGGTATAACAGAACACAGTATACACGGAAAAGAAAAATGGTAATGAAAGGCAACGCGAAAGCTGCTTCTTACACAGCAAAACAGAGGCATGATAGAACATGGTATATACGGAACAGAAAAATGGTAATGAAAGGCAACGCGAAAGCTTCTTACACAGCAAAACAGAGGCATGATAGAACATGGTATATACGGAAGGGAAAAATGGTAATGAAAGGCAATGCGAAAGCTGCTTCTTACACAGCAAAACAGAGGCATGATAGAACATGGTATATACGGAAGAGAAAAACGGTTCTGAAAGGCAAAGCGAAAGCTTCTTACACAGGAAAACAGAGGCATGATAGAACATGGTATATACGGAACAGAAAAATGGTAATGAAAGGCAAAGCGAAAGCTGCTTCTTACACAGCAAAACAGAGGCATGATAGAACATGGTATATACGGAACAGAAAAATGGTTCTGAAAGGCAAAGCGAAAGCTTCTTACACAGGAAAACAGAGGCATGATAGAACATGGTATATACGGAACAGAAAAATGGTAATGAAAGGCAATGCGAAAGCTGCTTCTTACACAGCAAAACAGAAAAGATAATATTGGAGAAGCTAATAAGAAACCTTACAGTGCCATTTGAAATAACTGAAATAATCATCTTAGGAGCAGGAGGGAGGACTAAGAATTTTAATTGGGAATAGTTTATTTCAGAGAGATTACTCTGGTAGTACTTTGCTATCACCTCCTAAAATCAGAGAAAAATTTGTGTTTCTTGTATGCAAATTAATTCAAATCTCCATTCATTAAACAGACTTATTCTACCGTAATGTACATGCTGGTGTATTAAAAATGGCTATGAAGATAAATATGATACAACCCAAGGTAATTTTTAGGTCCTTTGCACAGCCCAACATTTTACAGCACATACTTTCTCTTATTTTCTTTATGCAAGCTGTATATTTTCACAGCACATAATGTTTCTCTTTTTTCTTTAAGTTTAAACCAAACAAACTTCTAATTTTAATCTATGATCAATTAGGCAATAATTCTAGACTACAAGTTTCATCAACAAATATTACAAAATAAATGCCAACATACTTAACAATCCAGTCAAGCTACCTGGAAAAAACAAACACCATGAACTACGTGAGATGTAATTTTGCAATTAACCTAGTCAAACGAATTTTACAAATAACTCACATTGCCATAATTGGTAAATTCAATGCTTAGGTCAGAAACAACAGGGATTCATTAAAATATCTGGATACTGGCCAGGCACAGTAGCTCACACCTGTAATCCCAGCACTTTAGGAGGCAGAGACAGGTGAATTACTGGAGGTCAGGAGTTTAAGACATGCCTGGCCAACATGGTAAAACCCCATCTCTACTAAAAATACAAAATTAGCCAGGCATGGTGGCATGCACCTGTAATCCCAGCTACTCAGGTGGCTGGGGCAGGAGAATCACTTGAATCTAGGAGGCGAAGGTTGCAGTGAGCTGAGACTGGCACTCCAGCCTGGGCAAAAAAAGCAAAACTCCATCTCAAAAAAATAAAAGAAGATTATCTGGATTTTACAAGAAACATGTTTTGAGATCTTTATAAATGTTCAAACACTTTTAAAACATTTAATTTCAGTAATAATATGCTCTAGATGCGCTAAACATAATTCAGAACATTTAAGTGAGTATTCAGAGCCTTAACTGGAATCACATAAATATATAACATTAATTTACATAATTCCATTTCAATGCAGATACTAAGCAAGGATCATTCCCTGGGTAAGTGATTCATACCTGTATAAAATCCTTTAAGTGGGCATAAACCTGATTCATACATCAGTATAATTAGAAACTAACACAGATCATGATTTAGCATTGCTTTAAGCATCTAAAATGACCAAGGTTAAATCTGTAAATATAAATAATCCTACCTTTGTCTACCAGATGAGAAAAAATATATGTATCAAAAATCTGTAATACTGGCTGGGCAAGGTGGCTCACGACTGTAATCCCGGCACTTTGGGAAGCTGAGGCAAGAAGACTGCTTGAGGGCAGGAGGATCACTAGGCCAAGAGCTTAAGACCAGCCTGGGCAACATAGTGAGACTCCCATGTGTATATTTGTTTGAAAAAAAACTGTAATATTGAGAAAACGTCATCAGAACTGCTGAGCAAGCTTTAAAAAGTCTCACGTGGGAGACAGATCCAAGAAGGCCCATTACTAGCAGCTCAGGATTGTAGCTCCCAGTGAAAGCACAGAGAATCAGAGGACGCCACAATTTCAGACAAATTTTTGTTGCTCATGGACCAGGAGATTCCCACCGGAGGAGACCCAAGGGTCGCCAGCACGACTCTTGTGGCCGGCGCGGCGGTTCTTGGTGCAGAGTAAATGGGACTGGGTCCCCTTCTGGTCGAAGTTTGGAGCTCCGGGAAGGAAGAGTTGCCCATTCAGCTGACTGAAAAAGGGACTCAAGAGAGAAGCCAGACCGGAGATTCCCAGGCATAAAAACACCATGAATCTTAATGCCGCTGTTTTAGCCAGCACAGTAGGTTGCTCAGATTCTGGCGCTGGGAATTAACAAGTTTGATGTCCACTCAGAGACCTAATTTGAAAGTTGGTAACTACAAAGACGACAGGTGGATAAATTTACAATGATGGGAAGAAACCAGCTAAGAATACCCAAAATGCTGAGAATACCCAAAATCAGAATGCCTCTCCCTCTACAGGGGATCACAGTTCCTCATCAACAGGGGAGCAAGGCCTGATGGAGAATGAGTGCATTCCATTAACAGAATTAAGCTTCAGAAAGTGGGTACTAAGAAACTTCTGTGACTTAAAAGAACATTCTAGCCCAACATAAAGAAACTAAGAACCCTGAAAAAAGGTTTGACAAAATCCTAACAATAGACAATTTAGAGAGGAATATAAGTGAATTAATGGAACTGAAGAATACAATACGAGTACTCCGCAAAGTATGCACAGATTTTAACAGTTGAATTGATCAAGCAGAAGAAAGGATATCAGAGGTCAAAGACCAACTTAATGAAATGAAACAAGAAGACAAGATTAGAGAAGCAAGAGTAAAAAGGAATGAGCAAAGTCTCCAAGAAATACGGGACTCTGTGAAAAAACCTAATTTACATTTGACAGGTGTACCTGAATGTCATGAAGAGAATGAATCCAAGCTGGAAAATATTCTTCAGGACACTATTCAGGAAAACTTTCCTAACCTAGTAACGCAGGACAATACTCAACTCCAGGTAATACAGAGACCACAAAGATATTCCTCAAGTAGAGCAACCCCAAGACACATAATCGTTAGATTCACCAGGGCTGAAATAAAGGAGAAAATTCTAAGGGCAGTTAGAGAGAAAGGTCAGGTTACCCATAAAGGGAAGCCTTCAGACTCACAGCAGATCTCTCAGCAGAAACTCTACAAACTAGGAGAGAGTGGGGGTCAATATTCAATATCCTCAAAAAGAATTTTCAACCCAGAATCTCATAGCCAGCCAAACTAAGCTTCATAAATGAAGGAAAAATAAAACTTTTCACGAACAAGCAAGCACTCAGAGATTTCATCATCACCAGGCCTGCTTTACAAGAGCTTCTGAAAGAAGCATTACACACAAAAAGGAACAACCAGTATCAGTCATCCCAAAATATTACCGAAAGGTAAAGAGTATCTCCATAATGAAGAATCTATATCAACTAATGGGCAAAACAGCCAGACAGCATTAAATGACAATACTAAACTCATAAATACCAATATTAATCCTAAATTTAAATGAATTAAATGCCCCAATCAATGACACAGACAGGCAAATTGAATAAAAAGTGAAAACCCATCAGTACGCTGTATCCAGATCCATCTCATAAGCAAGGACACACAAAGACTCAAAGGATTGGAGGAAGACTCACCAATCAAATGGAGAGCAAAAAGAAAAAAAACAGGAGTTTTAACTTTCGTCTCTGACAAAATAGACTTTAATAGCAACAAAGACTAACAGAAACAAAGAAGGACATTACATAATGGTTAAAGGATCAATGCAACAACAGGAGTCAATGATCATAAATATATATGCACCCAATATAGGAGCACCCGGATACATAAGTCAAGTTCTTAATGACTTATAAAGAGACTTGTAATCCCGCACAATAATAGCGGGAGACTTTGACACAACATTGTTAATATTCAACGGATCAACGAGATAGAAAATTAATAGGACATCTATGATTAGAACTCAGACGTGAAACAAATAAACTCGGTGAATATTTACAGAATTCTTCACCCCAGGTCCACAGAACATACATTTTTCTCAGTATCATATTATACCTATTTTGAAAGTAACCTCATAATTGGAAGTAAATCACTCTTCAGCATTTGCACAGCATTTCACAGACTTAAATGAAATATTGGTTGCTGTTTGTTTGTTATTTTCTTCCTTTATTCCTTTCTGTCTCCGCTGTTAAGCACATTTATCAGCATAAAAGAGATTTTTAATACCTATTTTTGGATTGCATTCCAGCCTGGGCAATACAGCAAGACTCCTGTTCTCTCTCCCCCTTTCTCTTTCTCTTTCTTTCTTTCATAAAAAAAAAGCCTCATGTATAATTTTTACTTATAAAAATGTTTAAATACATTTTTATTTTATATTGTATAAATACATGCTATTTTCAAGAAATGAATATATTCATTGTTGTAATATTTGTATTTTAATAACTTCAAAAAAACTCAAGATAATCTGCTTAAATACTTTCATGGACTGTTAACCAAGTAATTCTATTAAATCATTAACTCATTTACATGTTATTCTTAAATTTACTTCACATCTCTAGGAAGACTAGATTATCAAGTCATCTTGGATCATGAAACTACTGTTTTGCTGACATAGATGCAAAAAGAAAATCAAGGTCTCTTTTTAGAAAAGTAATTATATTATATAAAAACAGAGAGGTAGGTAGCTTCCAATAATTCTGTACTTCCAAAAGAAGGGCAGCTTACTATTAAAAGCACCATGTCTTCATGTCCCATATGGTGTATTTAATAAACTGAATTAAAATTTTTAAAAATAATGACATCCTGCCTTTATCAAAGTTGACAAAAATAGCAAAATATAATGTAAATGATTAGAAGATAATTATTAAAATACTAAATGTAACTGAAAAGTTTTTTTCCTAAATGAAAAAACCTTTCATTGAAAGATACACAACAGTCCACCTAGGAGGGTGAGAAAATACAAAGGCTAGGACAGGATAAGGCAGTATGGCTGCTGACCAGTATTAATGACCTCCCTAACATATTTATAAGATTAAGTCCTGCCCTACTTTCTAAAATATTGCATAAAAAGACTTATACTTACTTCTGGTGGTGGTTCCTGATCATTCTTCCATGATGCATCTGATCCCTTATCCCTGGGTGGGGGGGTGGGGAGTATGGAATCAAAAAAGTATTTATCACAATTCTGCTTATAACTTAAAAGTACAGAAAGTAAAAAGTAAAGGACACGAACTCAACCTTTAATTTTGCAATACACTTTATGTTGTCTTTTCAAAAGACATGGGAAGCTCATAAGAAAAACAAAGTTGGGCAAATATAAATATTAGGATTAGGGAACTGGAATGAAAAGCCAAGGCTATGGCGCGCAGAGTAAAGGAGATGGGCAGTTCTTCTGATTTTCATATTTATAGTTTTCATAAAACTCAGTTTAAAAAAATGCTTATTTCGCACCAACCGTAATTGGAAGTTGTTCCACATACAAAGGACACAAAAACGACTATAGGGCATTCCCTTTTCAAATATTTTACAGGTTTAATGCTAGAGATATCAAAATGAATTCTTTTCTCCTCAGTTTACCTGAAGAATATCAACAATCCTCCATGAGTAACCAAGGTTTATTCCAACACTGATTCTCAAAGCAGAGAGGGTCAATAAAGGCTAACTATTGATAATTTGTGGAAGAGAAGGAGGAGCTGCTTTAAAGATTCTAAAGAACGATGTAATGACCGGCATATGTGAAATGTGTAATAGCAGCAGAAAAATCAACAATTTTTGGTGGAGAGTTTCACACTTCACAACCAAAGAGAATTTTACACTTTACATCCAAAGAGAATTTTACTTAACTGAAAACAATTGTTAAGAAATGGTAATAATATTAAATACTAATGCTAAAATAGCAAGTATATTAAAGAAAGTATATAATGAAAAAAACACTGAACTAAAATCAGAAAATGTACATGGCTCAAATGTTCTTTTAATGGCTGATCATCTCATTTTCTACGAAAGATATGAGTTCTACCCTACAAAAGTGATAATAAATTGCAGGCTTCAGAGATGTTATTAGGAAGATAAATGAACTCTTTGGAAGACAGATACAATATAACTATAAGGAATTACCGTCACTGAGAATTATTCTTAAAATATAAACATTCGGTAAGCGAAGAACAACATGCCACGTAAGTACTTACTGTTTAAGTTTTTCTGTGAATATATACTGGGTGAAATCTTTCATTGATGGAGCAAAATACATAGTCTCCTTTATTTTAATACCTTTACTTTCAATGTGATCTGAAGAATTAAACCGTAACACATAAAATGGATGTGCAACAGGTCCAAATATCTCAAATATCTATAATAGAAACATAAAGGCCTCTTTCAACATGTATTGAAAAGGTAGCAATGTTTTCTTTTAAAAATGCCACTGATAATTGCTAGAACAACGTAATTTTGTCAGTGATAGGGCAATAAAATAATTTATTTATATTTGTCATTTTTATATATTCAGTCTTAATATACTAATTAAAATGCATTAGCTCATTTCGGATTTCCAATCTATTAATTTAAAACAACTGTAACAAGTTTGCTCATCACAAATTCAAATCATTTGGTGGTACCAACTAGATGCAAATTATGATTTTGATTTTTTAAAATTATTGCTCATTTAAGTTGTAAGGTACAAAGAAAAAGATTATAATTGGTAACTTTTGAGAAATAACACATTGTATGCATTTGAAATCATCAGATGGGAACTATAAAAGCAAGCTTCTAACTTCAATAGGTGTTAAATCAGTTTGCTGTTTACATAGTGTTAGAAATTTTGTAAAATTAAAGACTTTTTCTAATTTAACAAATAATAGAGAAGCTACTTATTCCCACAAAACAAAAGATGGTGCGGCCTTTAACATTTAACTAAAAGAACTGTTTTCAGCAGAACCGCATATGTTATTTCTAAAAACATTTTATCAATGATGAAAGGAAGCCTCTTGGTTTCAAACTTTATTTTCTTCTCAAAATTACCTGAATTAAAAAATATATTTTCTGATAACATACGTTTATTATAGAGATAAGACCATGGCCCGTATAGATTTTTCCAGTCTTTTTTCTGTAATACATATTTTTTCTTTAAGACTATACTGTACTTTTGTATACCACCCCCTTTTAAAACCTAAAGTTGTTCCATGTTACATTCTTTGTAAGTAAAATTTTAGCAATTATAAAATACCCCTTTACAGATCCAGCACAGCTTATTTAACTTTTTTTTTTGTAGGACATTTAAGCAGTTTCTAGTTTATTCAACATAATATATGATGCCATGATAAATATCTTATATATCAATGTCTATACTTCAAATTTCCTAAAAATTGATTTTTAAGGACTAGAAGTACTGAAAAGTATGATAATTAACACTAAGGCATAAAAGTTTTAATGGAAATACTAAATAGCTTTCTAAATAGCTTGGACCAATTTAGACCAACTGCATGGAAAATGGCTGTTTTATCACATCCTCAGTTCTTGATTTTTGATAATAAATATTCTTTACATTTTATGATCTTTAGTAGACCAGCAAAGCTATTATTAGTTTTCACTAAGGCATAAAACAGCTCACCTAGCAGGGCACCACCATTATGAAGGTATGTATACTCTAAAAACAAGTAGTGACATTAAAAACAATTAAAATATATTATGAAATAACACTAATAGCATCACAAATTTAAGACATTAAATAAATTTAAAAGCAAAAAAATTTAAGGAAATAGCAAGACATTTGCTTTGAGAGGTTTAGATAAATCCAGTAGACCTCGTCCAGTGAAAGCTGTGAAGGGCAGAAGAGCCGTACTGCAACACCACTCTTACCGGCCTACATGACATGAAAGTAATCTTACTTTCACTTAATATTGTCTTTAAACTAACTCACAAATTTAACTCCCTCGAATATAGACAAACCCAATTCTTTGTTTGCACAGAGATTTAAAAATACCTTTTAAAAAGTTTCCTATGTATCCATTAATACAAGGTAAAATAATCACTGTTTGCAGCCTGGTGCACTGACTGTTTCCCAGGGATTTGTTTCCTAGATAGCATGAATCCACTTCCTAAGTGTGAAAAATGATGTCAATGGAAAAATTCCTTGCAAACTTCAGGTCTATGCAGTATGGTTTAAACTAAAATGTAAGTGACATTCAAAATTTTTGGACAAAAGAAAAGCGTAATTTTTTAATTACCTGTTCCTAAGATCTGAAGTATTTATGAGCTATAACTATAATGACATCATTATAAAGTTTTAAGTAAAATAACACCACAGACAGTAGGTAAGAGGAAGTCATAAAATAGACAGCATGTGGTATGAGCCACTAACAATAGGTATGTAACAGGAAAACTTGACCAAATTCACATAAGCAATTTAGCTAATTCAGAGTAGAAAAGAAGAATTTAACAATATTTTAAATAACTATTAGCCTCCGAGTGTAAAGTTTAGATTGACTAATACCTGACAGCTAAACTCTAAAGAGCAACTTAAAACACAACAAAGATCAGGCCAGCCCACTTCTCCTCACACAGCTCCATATGAGGCACCTGTATCCCTGCTCAGTTAGTCCACCCAACTTAGGGGATTTTGTGACTTCCATACTACCTGATTCAAGACAAAAGCAAAGGAAGTAATAGATTATAAGGAGAGTATAAGAAACTGAATTTGGAGGAGTAGCAGCTGAGACCTATAATATGAGGCGGGCAAGCAGCTTTCTTTTTATCTTTAAAAATGGAATTATTGGGTCGGGCGCGGTGGCTCACACCTGTAATCCCAGCACTTTGGGAGGCCGAGGCGGGTGGATCACGAGGTCAAGAGATTGAGACCATCCTGGTCAACATGGTGAAACCCCATCTCTACTAAAAATACAAAAAATTAGCTGGGCATGGTGGCCCGTGCCTGTAATCCCAGCTACTCAGGAGGCTGAGGCAGGAGAATTGCCTGAACCCAGGAGGCGGAGGTTGCGGTGAGCCGAGATTGCGCCATTGCACTCCAGCCTGGGTAACAAGAGCGAAACTCCAACTCAAAAAAAAAAAGAGGAATTATTCTGTAGAAATGTTCATATACAAACTTAATCCAACTGATGCTTTATACTTGCCCTGTCACTAAGAAGTGGTTTTCTAAGTATCCTTTCACTTGGCTCTAGCAGATAATACTCACCACTTTTTACTCAAAGGCATTATATTTTTGCTACAAGATCTCCAAGGATTTCTATCACACACAGAGGTTAACAAACACCATGACAACAACATGGTACGGAAAAATAACTGACATGGGAAAAATAACTGACAAGCAAAGAAGATATAGACTGCATGCAGTTCCCCAAATTTCATCCCAGCTTAGGCTGGGCTTAAATGTTCTGTGCGCACCATGGCAAAAGTTTCAGCCACGTGGAAGGCCTGTTTGAGCCAGCAGGCTGGATGTGCACAGACAATATTCCAAAATGGAGAATGAGCTGTATTCTCCACCCACTCTCCACACACACACACCATGTCACAAACTTAGGAGTTATCTAGAGGGGATAGGTAACTTCCAGTTTCTCTATTATCTAGGGGGACTAGGTAACTCCCAGTTTCTCTAAGTAACAAGAAATACATAAAGGAATCTCCAGGCCCAGGAACAACGCTGGCAGGCTGTGCCTGTGAAGGGCCAAGATCTGCATGCTCCCACCTGGAAACAGCCCTCAAAGACTGTCTCTCCAGGTGAGCCAGCTTTGGGCTAAACTGCCAAAGGGGAAAGGAAATGAGGAAATGAACCTTTACAACTATCCAATCACTTTGTACTTTTTCACTTTCCATTAACAAAAATGAAGAAAATACAGATGAATAGAGCATTCTAATCCATTAGTTAGGTAAACTGATTATTTCAATCACTGTGTATGTTACTGTATCCCAAGTTATCTTGAAATATGTCATGAGAACTAAGGCAGTGGGGAACACTGCATCAATATAATATAGAGTCCTCTAGAAATATCATCATATCCTACCAAACAAGACAATCTTTTAAAAAGGAATCAGCAAAAATTCCCTACTCAGTGATATGTGAGAAGGAAACAGATTTCACTAGTTATCATGAAGAACTAGCAATTATTAGGATTAAAGGGCAAAGGTAGGAATAAATATCTGAGACCGTCCTCCCTAAATCAGTGAGGAAAGCAAAGGGAGGCGGAAGGGAAATGAACCTGGGTTGGCAATCTCATCCATTTCAGATTTGTGACTTTTTAGCAAGGTTTCCCAAGTTTTAAAATAAAGGTAATTCTACTTCCTTTCAGGATTTCAGTGAACTTAAAATGTTAAACAACATAAATACCACTGTAGCTGATTACTATTGAGTTACTAAAGAATAGAGGGAAAAGATGTTAAATGGCTTGCTACTGAAGGTAAAACTAATTTAGTATTTAGATAACACATGCTAATAATCTAAAAGGTATTCAGTTTCATATTCTGGTTATTGGTTTTGTTTAACAGATACTTTCTAATCTTCTCTACTCTCACTACTATTTTGGGGAATCATTTCAAGGTACTCAGATTTATAATCAAGTATTTTTGAAAGACTTGTCACAAAGTCTTTCAAAAGCATTTATAAAGCATTCTATGTAAAATTTAGAAATAGATTTTTGCCAACAGGCTTATGCCATATAACTAAAATTAGAGTTGTAAATGTTGTATTTTTATCTGACTTCTTTCAAAGCTAAATGACAGTTAAATATTAATATTATTAACCACATTTACAAGTCTAGAAATTCAAATGTAGTGGGAAATTTAAAAAATATCTATTTAGAGGTTTTAGTTCAGCAAAGTGTTGAGTATTTTCAGGTGAAAATTTCTAAGTTAGGTAATAAGAAAAAAAGACAACTGTCATGAAAATCACAAATAGCTCATTCTTATTTGTTTGTATTCAACTCAATATATACTTACTTGGCACAAATAATTTACAAAGAACTGCTCTAGGTACAATGGGGAATATCAAGGTGAATAAAACTGTCCCTATTGCCAGGAAATGCATACTTACTTGGTATTTATATTCTTGATTTTAGAAGGTTTTATGTCTTCTGCCAACTAGTCAGAATTGCCTACTTGCTGGGTAAAGTACACAGTGTTCTATATTAAGGTGAACATGTAGGGTTGTTCCATTAGAAAGATGTTAAAAGGGACCAAATCTTATAGTAATTACTAGAGTGCACATATTTGTAATTCCCCAGGAGACGCTTACAGTGATAATTCACTTGTCAGTGAAATATGTTTCCACTTAGAAATGTTTCCAAAGCGAACTTCCACCTGAGGAAGTCAAAGTCTGTAAAGTCTGAGAGCCACTCTTCAAAGAGGCTCACAAGCCAAAAATAGTTAAGAGCTACTATGCTATGGGAAATCTTCACTCAGCTGAGTATCTGGAGGGTAAGAAACAATGTGTTATTCATTATGTAGACTCCCTGCCTAGCAAATTACCTGACAAACACCAGGAAAGGATTCTATACATGTACATTTAATAACTCATGCAGTGAAGAGTAATAATCAGTATTAACCAATTTACAGACAGACAAAGTACTGAAGAAAATCAAGAATGTACTGAAACTTGAGAGCTCTAGACTGTCCATCAATTAAAATCAACAAACTTTCTGAGAACTGATGGGGAAAGTCAGACAACAAATAGAATAATTTGTAAGAACTGAAATTTTTTACAAACCTTTCCTGCTGCTTGTCGATCACTTTTAAAAATTACAGTCTCCTCATTAACTGGAGGTAGGTTAGTCATAGATTCAATTATTACTGAAAAATAAAATAGATTGCTTTAAGATTTACTTATAAGAGAATGTAGAATTTAATGAAAATCTAAGCTTTAATTCCAACATAATTTAAAATAAAATTGAAGGTGGCATTAGTTACCACATTAACTATTTCTCTGCAGTAAACAAAATCTTATTACCAAACAACGCTGGGAAACATTTTATAACTGTTTTAATACAAAAAGCTACAATTCTAAGAAAAAAATTAAAATATAAATCCCACAGAAAATCTGAATCATCCATTAAAGAGTCAACAAATTCAAGCTATGTACATATTCTCAAGTAAATTTTACCAAAAATAGTGTAATCATACTTAGTCCTAAAACTCCTGTTTTAAAAGAAATTTGTCTCCTTAGCACTGTTAAGTTACTGGTATACAAAAAAGTTAAATAAAAGCTTCACAAAAGCATCTTCTTAAGAACAGAAGTCGTCAACGTGCTACAGCTCACAGTAGTTTTTATCATTACATGAAAATTCCCTCCTCAAAAAGCAGAAGCATAATATCCAAATCTCTAATTCTTTTAAATGACACAAATGTTAAAGAACTGATCTACCATAAGAGAAAACACACACACACACACACACACACACACACTGTCTCTCTCCCTCTCTCAATAAATTTTTAGAAAATCAGAGCCACAAGTAAGAACATTCTGTTACATTACATAGATAATGCCATGTCCACTTAGGGAATAAAATATACTAGCTCAGATTATTAAAACTAATTCAAATAATTTCTTTTGTATCCCAACTAATTTTAACTTCAGGCCAGATGCAGTGGCTCACGCCTGCAGCACTTTGGGACGCTGACAAGGAAGAACGGCTGGAGCCCAGGAGTTTGAGACCAGTCTGGGTAATATAGCAAGACCTCGTCTCTATTAAAAAAACAAAAAAGTTAGCACTTCTGAATTCCAAATATAGACATAACCAACAGATCATGGGGCAACATTTTTTGAGTTAAACCTGCTTCTGGAATGATGATGAAATATGGATTGATAACTACATTGAGCACTAACAGAATTCATTTTCCGTCATCATTTCTTCCTAATCATCATTTCTTCTGCAAGGCATTGCAGAAAAGTCAAATTAATTACAGGAAAACTAAAAACCACCTAATCCAATGCCCTCATCTTATAGAAAGATAAGAAAATAAAGATTTAAGAAAGTCCTTTGTAACAATTAAGGCAAGGCCAATTCCATTATCACCAGAACCTAGACCTAGTTCATATGCTCTTTCTATAACACAACTGTGTTTCCACAGACCCATTCTCTTATTACAATGATTCTGAGCAGCAGGCAGTTTCAGGTAGACGGATACAAATTAACTTACAGGTTTGTACCATATTAATAAACATTTTCAAAGATTTTAAAACTAACATTCTGAAAGAATGAACTAGGACAAGATCACTAATTTCATGACATCTCTCCACTTCTACCTATAAGAATAATATCTAATTAGCCTCATGTTTTTCCAAATTAAAACAAAACAAAAAAGGCATAGTTTGCAGGGCTGCAGAATGCAAACCCAAATTCTCTCCTTTCATCTTTAGCTTCTTTGAATTCACAGATTATTTTTGCCTAATATATAATACTTATTTTTTCTTTCTGTGTAATTTGTTCCAAATAATATTAGATATTTTAGGCTTTCAAAACAGAGTAGGCAACAGTGGCATGTGCTGATTTTGACTCATTTACTCCTTATTCCCCATTAGGTTGAGAATTTTTTTAGTCTATGTTAGTTAAAATAGTATTGTTAAAAATGCAAAAATGGGCCAGGTGCAGTGGCTCACGTCTGTAATATCATCACTTTGGGAGGCTGAGGTAGGCAGATCATGAGGTCAGTAGTTTGAAACCAGCCTGACAAACATGATGAAACCCTGTCTGTACTAAAAATACAAAAAATAGCCAGGTGTGGTGCCAGGCACCTATAATCCCTGCTACACAGGAGGCTGAGGCAGGAGAACTGCTTGAACCTGGGAGGCAGAGGTTGCAGTGAGCCAAGTGTATGCCATTGCATTCCAGCCTGGGCAACAGAGTGAGACTCCATCTCAAAAAAAAAAAAGCGAAAATGACATGCATCATTCCATGCATGTCATAGAGTTTACATTTATTTTTTTGAGGACCAACAGTACGACCTTAAATTTTTCTGTATAGGCCCAGTATGGTGGCATAATCCCAGCACCTTGCAAGGCCAAAGTGGGTGGATCACCTGTGGTCGGGAGTTCAAGACCTGCCTGACCAACAAGGGGAAAACCCATCTCTACTAAAGATACAAAATTAGCCGGGCATGGTGGTGTGCACTTATAATCTCAGCTACTCTGGAGGCTGAAGCAGGAGAATTGCTTGAATCCAGGAGGTGGAGGTTGCTGTGAGCCGAGGTCACACCATTGCACTCCAGCCCGGGCAACAAGAATAAAACTCCATCTTAAAAAAAAAAATTCTGTATACATCAAGTCTAATAAATGTTTAAATCATACTATATAAGAAATTAGTTGCCTATTTTCACATATTATTAAATACCATAAGATAACTCTAAAACTAGTAAATGTAATGATTCCAGAATCATGGAGAGTTTTAATTATTATTTTTGAAAAAAAGGTTCACTTTAATCTACATTTTTATTAATAAACTGAAAAAGTATAAAATTATGTAAGTATTTTTTTAAAAAACATCGATACAGACACTGTTAGAAAAAAGCCAAAAGAAAAAGTCCTATTTCAACCACTGACTCATTATACAACTGGTCCCAAGAGCAACTAACTTGAATTTTTCTACGTCCTTAGGTCCTGTGGAGGCTGGTGGGCAATCTAGGCCCTCTTCACAGTTCCAAAATCCTATTACTTTGTCAGTGCTAAGTTCTATTCTCAGGCTTACCCTACTGTGAGTTAATAGTACCTACATTAACAAAATCTCACATGTTGGGGCTAAAGAAATCTAAAATATTAAGTTCTCTTACATAGCAGTTTCATATTTTGTGCCATTAATATATCAGTATTAAATTACTAAACTTTCTAACTTATACGTTTTTAAGACAAAATCAAAGGTGGTGAGCAGAATGATGTCCCCAGAGATATCCACACTCTAATACCTGAATCTGTAAATACATTACATTTTTAACAGCCTTTGCAGATGCGACTAAAGTTGAGGACCTTGAGATAAGGGAGATTATCCTGGATTATGCAGATACTCAATCTAAAAAGTCTTTTAAAGCAAAGAACCTTTCCGGATGTGGTTAGAGTGAGGTGAGACAGTGGAAGAAGGCTCAGAGACAGACACTCCATTACTGGCTTTCATGATAAAGAAAGAGAACCAAAAGCCAAGGAATGTGGGCAGGCTCGAGAAGCCAAAAAGAGCAAGGAAATGAGATTCTCCCCTAGTATCTACCAAAAATAACTCAGCCTGGTTAACACATTTGATTTTAGCCCACTGAGAACCACATGAGAACTGTATGATAAATTTGTGCTGTTGTAAGACACTATGTTTGCAGTAATTTGGTAGAGAAACATTAGAAAACTAATATATCAAATTAAAAGAAAATTCTGGAGGAAGTTCGTCAGTAAAGCCAGACATTTACATTTCTATGAAGAAACTCTATTTATGTATAATTTTAGTACATGAAAACTGAATTTTATCACTTCAAACTATGACGTGTTAATTACATATTTAAAAAACAATTTACTAGTCATAAAGCCACGGATTCAATTATTAGTGTGTGTTCAGATATAATTAATTTTTTAAATAAGATTCTTTTGATTAATAAAATTCTTTACATACCTAGTTGTTCAATAATACTTGAAACCATCCCAAGAGGCTTTAATTCAATATCTTCAGGCAGAATAATAGTGAGTTCTTCAACAGAAGGCAGTTCCTACAATTAAAAAAAAAAAGCATTAATCTTCCTCCAACTTCAACAACTTAAAAAAGATAAGATAAATTTTCCATTTAAAGTGCTACACATATTGGAAGATGTAACATTAAGTGCTTGGAGCATCTCTTTAATGTTATCCTGCTAGTGGTTGCAAAGACTTGTGACAGCACTTCTCTCCCTCCAACACTTCTCCACCTAAGTGACTCCACAGGTCTTAAGTATAAACCCCAAATTCAGTTATACTAAGAACACAGACATAAGTACTGTTCTAGATTCTTTCAATCACAGTTGAACAAAAGACTCCCTGCTTCCTGTAAAAAATGACTATTATGAGTCAGAGACATTCCATTTGAAAAGAAGTAATTCTACTGGTAACTACAATTTCCGTAGAAAAGTTCTTTTAGCTGTCTTGTTAAATTGGTTAATTAATTAGTTTGACTGTGATTAAACAGTAGAACAAAGAAGCAGCAATCTTTGCTGAGACTGTGTGGAGAAGAGCTGAATGACTGGCCTCTTCAGCAAAAAGAAAAAAACACCTATCAGTGAAATACTAAAGTCCTGAAAAAAAGGACTTAGGCTTTAGCCTATAAAAACTGTGAAGGTATTGCTGGATACCTTCATTCTCTAGGTTAAAAAATAAATTTCTTTACACCTAAAGATTTATCTTTTCTTATTCAGCTGCAAACTGCACCTCAGTTGCTATGGAAACTAGATATTGAAGTACAGATGAGGTTGAAGAGAAGTCTAAGAATAAATCTACCTTAGCCTTTAGATTAAAAGCAAAGCTTTCTGTTCTTGACCCTTGCTAATATTAACTCTCAGAAGAAAGCTTTTCCTCAAGAAGGCTTGAAGTGCAAAGACCCTACCAATGGCATTTTAAGAGTTAAACTGAGAGAAGGGTAACTTTTGGCGAAATGTTGGAAAAGATGGAAAAATCGACATAGTACAAAGTATACTGCAGATAAAATCTTGAGTAATCATATTACCCCTATGGAAACTTACACTAGGTTCTTACCAGAGTTGATAAGCAGACATCTAATATACACTGCATCTGGAATATGCTATTTTCCAATAAAGGATAACTTACAGAGAGCAACACCATGGGTGTCAACCAACTGATGCAGAAGAAAGTCAGCAACATGCCTTTGTATGGTTAGTCTGCTTGGTGTTAGAGGATATTATTTTGTTTTAGAGAAAATTATTTTGTTTTATCCATCAGAAATTTTCTGAGTACTTTTAAGGAGAGAACAACCACTTGTCTTTTCATTATATTAAATGTAGAAAGCCTAATCTCGGGAAGAGCATGGTTTGAAAGTGGTTCATGTGTATATCAGAATGGAGAAGGGAGTTTAGTTGTTAGAACAAATGAGACACTGAATAGCCTTTTCACAGAAGTTCTTAGCTAAAAAAATCTCAGACCTTGTTAAATACAAGACTGGATAATTATAATTTTGGAGGACTGCAGAGTAGAGGGCTTTAATGATATTTTAGAGGGCAACTGTGAGAGGAGTCTCATACAGACTCTGGTTCTGGGAGTGGTACCTCTTGTAAAGTGGCAAATGTCGCTGGCTAATCCAGAAGTACAGTGATAAAATCTGTCCCATTGCCTAGCCAAATTATAAGATATAGAACAAAAATTTCATTACTTTGGGATTGGGATTAAGCTTACTGGTTAAATATTCTCAAATAAATAAGCACTACTTAACCAGCATGAAAGGCTCCTGGTTTTGTATTTTCTTTTATGAGGAATAAAGGCCCATGTAATGAAATATTTATGCTTTCATATAAATCTACACTTATACTGTTTGCTTCTGTTGTTGTTTGTTTAAAGTATAAAAGTAAAACATGTTCCTATTTTAAAAAAAGTAAAAACCCAAGCAGTATGGAAGGATACAAAGTGAAAAGCAAAAATTCCTCTACTCTATTCCTTTCAACTATCCAATTCCAAGCCACATAGATAGCTAATGTTATCTTTCAAATACATTTACTATTTAGATATAAACTTTAATTCTAACTTGAAAGTATTTTTTACTTAAATAAAATATCCATATTTTAATGGAACCAAAGAAAAGCTCATATAGCCAAGACAATCCTAAGCAAAAAGAACAAAGCTGGAGGCTACCTGACTTCAAACTATACAACAAGGTTACAGTAACCAAAACAACATGGTACTGGTACCAAAACAGACATACAGACCAATGAAACAGAACAGAGGCCTCAGAAATAATACCACACATCTACAGCCATCTGGTCTTTGACAAACATAGCAAAAAAACAAGCAACAGGGAAAGGATTCTCTAATAAGTGGTGCTGGGAAAACCTGCTAGCCATATACAGAAAACTGAAACTGGACCCTTTTCCCACTTCTTACACAAAAATTAACTCAAGATGAATTAAAGACTTAAATGTAACGTAAGACCTAAAACCATAAAAACTCTAGAAGAAAACCTAGGCAATACCATTCAGGACACACACATGGGCAAACACTTCATGATTCAAACACCAAAAGCAATGGCAACAAAAGCCAAATTGACAAATGGGACCTAATTAAACTAAAGAGCTTCTGCACAGCGAAACACTATCATCAGAGTAAACAGGCAACCTACAGAATGGGAGAAAATTTTTGCAATCTATCCATCTGACAAAGGGCTAATATCCAGAATCTACAAAGAACTTTAAATAAATTTATTAAAAAAAAGTGGGCAAAGGATATGAACTGACACTTTTCAAAAGACAACAAGTACGCAGCCAACAAACATATGATAAAAAGCTCACCTTCACTGGTCATTAGAGAAAGGCAAATCAATCCCACAATGACATATCATTGCATTCCAGTTAGAATGGCAATCATTAAAAAGTCAGGAAACAACAGATGCTGGAGAGGATGTAGACAAATAGGAATGCTTTTACACTGTTGGTGGGAGTGTAATTAGTTCAACCATTGTGGACGACAGTGTGGCAATTCCTCAAGGATCTAGAACCAGAAATACCATTTGACCCAGCAATCCCATTACTGGGTACATACCCAAAGGATTGTAAGTCATTCAATTATAAAGACACATGTACACATTATGTTTATTGTGGACTTGGCACCAACTCAAATGCCCATCAATGAGACTGGATAAAGAAAATGTGGCACATATACACCATGAAATACTATGCACCCATAAAAAAGGATGAGTTCATATCCTTTGCAGAGAAATAAAGGTGGAAGCCATCATTTTCAGCAAACTAACACAAGAACACAAAACCAAACAACACATTTTCTCACCTATAAATGGGAGTTCAACAATGAGAACACATGGACATAGAAAGGCGAAGATCACACACTGAGACCTGTTAGGGGTAGGGGACTAGGGTAGAGTTACCGTAGGATGAATACCTAATATAGATGATGGGTTGATGGGTGCAGCAAACCACCATGGCACGTGTATAACTATGTGACAAACCTGCACATTCTGCACATGTATCTCAGGACTTAAAATATAGTAATTTTTAAAAATCCGTATTTTAATACAAGGTACCCTTTTTACCTATCATACCCTCCACATCTTTCTATACCAAAACAAAAACATGTATCTAATTTTAACAGTTATGAATGTATTCCACTGTATTGGTGGTACTATACTACACTAGCCACCTGACACCACATATATCTGCCCTTTTAAAATTTTTGTCACTACACACAATGATACATCAAACAATCTTTAACATATATTTTTGTGTAACTCCTGTGATAAATCTATCCGTCGTGATAGATTAAAACATATGAATGTTTAAAAATTTCTTCTTTAAAATGTCACATCAGTTCACATTTCCACAATATATCAGAGGTTTCCCCACACCCTTGCCATTATCGATAAGTAAACTCTAAATCTTTGCCAGTTTAATGAGTGTATGATAGTATCTTGCTTTGATAGGAATTTCCTTATTCATAAAGAAGAGTGAACATCCTTGCATGTATCCTGGCCATTTTTATGTGTGTTATGAATTGTTCCTTGTATAATGTTACGCATTTTTGGAGGGCTTATCTTTTATTATTTTTTAAAAATTGGATTTTTAAGAATCTTTGTCTTTTATCAAATATGTTGCAAATATCCACTCTCTTACGCCCTAGAATGCTTTTTAGCTAAACGATTTAAACTAAATAATTTTGGTTGTCAACCTTTGGCATTTTAATTTTTATGTAGTCAAGTATGTAATTTTTTTTTTTTGGCTTTTGAAATTTGTGTCACATTTAGAAAGGTCCTCCCTATCCCAAAACCACTTAAAATTCACTATTGTTTTCTCCTAGATTCATTTTTTAAATATTTGGGTATTTGGTCCATTCACAATTTTACTCTTGTATACAAGTGAGGCAGTGATTGGCTTTATCTTTATCAAACTACTAGGCAGTTATCCTGATGTGTTGTAGGATAATCCATTTTTTCTCTTAATAATTTGAAAAACAAACTTTAACATATACTAAGTATACTTATGTAGTTGAGTTTTTTACTGAATCTCCATTCATTTTCACTGATCTACTTCAGTGTTAGCACTAAACTATTTTAACTGTGGTTTTCATAAAACATTTCCATTGAGATGGCAGGCTAGTTCCTTTACTCACACCATAAATATTCTTCCTCTTGGAATTTTTTTAACTGTTCCCACATGTTAATCTTGCTAAATGTCCAGAACTATTCTGTCATACTGATGTCATTAGTATTGACTGAGATCACATTTAATTGCAGCTGCCTTTATGAAGGGTCCTACACAGTGCTTAGGCTTGTTTCATTCTATATATTACTTGCTATAATAAATACCTAGTTACTGAATATATTTTACTGCTATTGCAAATCAACCCTTTACAGAGTATTGCCTGAACATAAGTATCACGCTGAAATTTACTTTTAGTAATTTTATTGCATATTTATTATACAACCTTATTTTCAAAGAGTAAGTTGTCCTTCTTTTCAATAATAGTACAACATGGCTTTCATTTCTCAGATAATATTGGTTGA